GATTTATATGTGTAAGTTTACTGTGTACAAAAAGTTACTAGCATTTTCATCAACTTTTCTCAAACTTTGTCTATTGATTATATAAATTTATTTCTAATTGTTTATTTTATTTCATACAATATTGTACTGTATTTGTGTTGTTTATATTATTTAGTAATGTAATACTTTGCTTCCAGAGGTCATCTTACCTTTACATTTTGTGCAAAAATAGCAGCTATACATTAATGACATAATAAGTATGTCCAGTATTATTTAAGTGCCTATTCATATCAAAGCTTTTTATGAATGATTATAATGCATTTTCCATAAAATGTTATTGCTTTCACTGTATACTAGTGATTCAAACTTTATTGTCTTTAATAACAATGACATGAAATCAATCTAGTTGCCCATCACTGGTGGATTGGATAAAGAATATTTGGTACCTATACACAGTGAAATACTACACAGCCAAAAAAAATTATGTTCTTTGTAGCAACATTGATGCAGCTGAAAGCCATTATCCTAAGTAAATTAATGGGGAAAAACAGAAAGCCAAATACTGTATGTTCTTACTTATAAGTGAGAGCCAAATATTGAGTATACATGGATATAAAAAATGAAAACAGTAGACACTGGGAACCACTAGAGGAGGAAGGGAGGAAAGAGACAAGGCCTGAAAAGGTATCTATGGGGTACTGTGCTGTCCACCTGAGTAGTAGTAGCAGTATCCAAAACCTTAGCAATACATTATGTACCCATGTAACAAACCTAAACATGTGGCTTCTGAACCTATAGGAAAAGTTGAAATTGAACAAAAATACCAAAATATGTGCTCTTTATAAATGTGCAGTCACAGTTAAAATGCATGGCTATCTAGAATAATTATTTTTTAGTAGTACACTATGTTGATTCAATATTTTTTGGTTAATTTTTTTGTTAAATTTTGTTCCACCATTTTCTATCTTAGTGGCTCATGTTTTACAGTAGGCTATGTCACATTAATTAATTGTGTTTTTAGTTTTTATTTATGTATTAAAATTTTGTATGCCAATATTTCAACTCTGTACACATTAAACCAATGTTTGGACAAAAGTCATGTTAATCAGTCATACATATGTTGCCAATATAATTATTTCTGTGTGTGTTTGCCTGTGTAAATATTACCCCTATTTTATGACTTGTATATTTGCTTTTTTTTGTTGTTGTTGTTAGTAGTCAATGATTGTTTTATATTCTTAATTGTAAGAAATACAAGGGCCGAGCATGGTGGCTCACAGCTGTAATCCCTGCACTTTGGGAGGTGAAGGCAGGCAGATCACCTGAGGTCAGAAGTTCAAGACCAGCCTGGCCAACATGGCAAAACCCCATCTGTAGTAAAAATATAAAATTAGCCAGGTGTAGTGGTGTGCACCTATAATCCCAGCTCCTGCAGTGGCTGAGGCAGGAGAATCGCTTGAACCTGGGAGGCGGAGGTTGCAGTGAGCCGAGATGGCATCACTGCAGTCCAGCCTGGTCTTCAAGAACAGAACTCTGTCTAAAACGTAAAAGTTAAAAAAACAATATTTTATACTCTTTAATATTTTCAATTACATAGTTCAGCTTTAAGTATATTGACATTTTTAGCAACATATCTTTAGAACATTTTATTTTGTAAAAGAAATATGCTATACACATGAATCCACTACTTATTTTTCCTGTTGTCTGACCCTTTACAAACATCATTCTATTTTCTATTTTTAAGGATTCCATGTAAGTAGATTCATACAGTATTTGTGTGTGTGTAGCTGGCTTATTTAGCATGTTGTCTTCAAAATTTGTCTTTATAATAGATATTAGAAGGTCTCCTGCTTTTTAAAAGCTGATTAATATTCCCTTTTTTGTATTTTAAATTATCCATTCATTTGGTAAGGAAAGTTTAAATTGCTTTTACCTATTTTCTTTTGTGTATAATGCTTCAATATGGTGTACAAATAACTCACTTGACCATATATTCAAGAGTTTATATCTGTGCTGCATTTTGTTTCATTACTTTGGTGTTCTACCTTTATACCAGTAGCAAAGTGCTTTGATTACTGTAGGTTTATTTTGCGTTTGGAAATTGTTAAGCATAATGCTTCCAATATTTTTCTTCTTTTTAAAGATTGTCAGGCTTTTAAAGATTGTGAGTCCCTTGAGATCTTACGTAATTTTGTGGGTTTTTGTTTTTCTTTTTGGAAAAGTAAAATTAAAAATTGAAAAGGGGTGTGTTGAATGTGTGGGCCACTTTAAGCAGCATGGACATCTTCACAATATTACGTCTTCCAACCCTTGAAAAAGAGCATGCTTAAAAGTGTGTTGCTGGCTGGGTGCAGTGGCTCATGTCTGTCATCCCAGCGCTTTGGGAGGCTGAGGTGGGCACATCATGAGGTCAGGAGATCAAGTCCATCCTGGTCAACATGGTGAAACTTTGTCTCTACTAAAATACAAAAAATTAGCTGGGCGCGTGGTGGTGCATGCCTGTAGTCCCAGCTACTCGGGAGGGGAGGCTAAGGCAGGGGAATCACATGAACACAGGAGGTGGAGGTTGCAGTGAGCCGAGATTGTGCCACTGCACTCCAGCCTGGTGACAGAGCAATACTCCATCTGGGCGGGGCAGGAGTGGGGGGAGAGAAAGTGTTGTTTTGTTTTTATGTTTTTTGAATTTTTCAGCTTTTCTTCTGCTATTAATTTCTAGTTTCCTTCCATTTGGACCATAAATAATAGTCTGTAAAATTTCAATTAAAAAAAAATGTTAAGACTTCTTTTTTGATGTCACAGGTCATCCATCTAGAAAAATGTTTCATGAGATATTGAAAAGATGTGTATTCTGCTGTCTGTATACATTTGTTAGGTGTAATTATTTTATAGTGCATTCAAGTTTTTTGTTCCCTCATTGATATTCTGTCTTGCTCTATTTATTACTGAAAGTGGGATGTTGATGTATCCTTCCATTATTATATTGTTGTCTGTTTTTGCTTCAGTTCCGTCAATGTTTGCTTTATGTGTTTGGGAAAACTGTCTTGTATTTATAGGTTCTCAGTGAATGAACCCTCTTACTATAATTGAATGTCCTACTTTGTCTCTTGTGAATTTTGACTTAAAGTAAATTATATGAAATATGACAGTTTTCAACTTAATAAATTGTTGCCTCTTTTCCTCTCATTTGGTTAACACTTGAATAAATTGTATTTTTCATCCTGCCATTTTCAGTCATTTTTTTTTATTAGATCTGAAATGAGTCTCTTGAAGACATATAGTTAGATCTTGATACAGATCTTGATATAATGATACAGTTAGATTTTTTTTTTTCTTTTCATTTTGAAGAATACTTTTGCTGGAAAAGTTTCTTGCTTGGACTTTTTTTTTTTCCAGTGCTTTAACGATGTCATCCTACTGCCTTCTTGCCTGAAAGATTTGTGTTCTTAAATTTACTCATAATCTGGCAGAAGCATGCATATAAATAACACATCTCTTTTTTCTTCCTGAATTCCAGATTCTCTTCTTGTCTGCAACTTTTAAATCATTGCTTATGTTGTGTCTTGTTAGAAATCTCTTTGTGTTAATCTTAGTTGAAATTTGCCGAGCTTCTTGATTTTCTTATATTTTTTACTAATGTTGAAGTGCATATTAGTCTTTTTTTGTAGTTCTACACAATTTTTTTAATCTTTCTGTGCTTTTTATCTTTTTGTTGGTTTCATTTTTGTTATTTCATTTTTTTTTTTTCCATTTTACTCATTGAGCATCATTGAGATGTAATTGTGATTTTCTAGGGTAATTTTTTTTTTCTTTTAAAAAGTAGATCTAGACTTTAATTCAAATTGTTTCATGTAATTTTTACATCTCCTTTTTTAAATAAATGATTTCTGGATATTCATTTTTATCTTTGAGCCATATTATCTTGATATTTTGTATATGTTGTAATGTTAGGTTGCAATTTGTACGATAAAAAGCCACATGTCAAAATTTGTATTAAGTGACTTTTGTCTGGGGGAATATGATACCAGTTTTTTAGGCTAGAGATTTTTGGAGTCTCTCAAGCCCATTCTATGAATGTTTTCTCTGGGCTTGTGTGTTTTTTAGTTTAAAAAGATTCTCCATGTTTTTTTGTTTTGTTTTGTTTCTTTTGTTGTTGTTGTTGTTTTGTTTTGTTTTGAGTGTTACTCCTGTTGCCCAGACTAGAGTGCAATGTTACGAGCTTGGCTTATTGCAACCTCCATCTCCTGAGTTCAAGCGATTCTCCTGTCTTCTGCCGCAGCCTCCCAAGTAGCTGGAATTATGGGCGCCTGCCACCACGCCCTACTTATTTTTGTATTTTTAGTTGAGACGAGGTTTCACCATGTTGGCCTGCCTGGTCTTGAACTTCTGACCTCAGGTGGTCTTCCTGCCTCAGCCTCCCAAAGTGCTGGGATTACAGGTGTGAGCCACCACTCCTGGCCATTCCCTGTGTTTCTTACTGAGATCCTGTAGTCACTTGCTATACCCATTGTCTGTCTATATGATACTGAAGTCTTTCATCTCTTGTAACAGTCATTTACCTTTGGTCTCATCTGTCTGAAACTGTCAGTATATACCACCTTTCCTTTCAACACTGTCATGGAATATAGAAATTAGTCTTTGGTAAAGTCTCAATAAGCCAGAAGCATGGACACATGTGCCACTATTTTGTTTATTTTTGGAGGGGGAAGACAGGAGTTTGGAGTCTATAGTTAGAGTCATCATAGGATGAAGAATGACTGTGTTGGGTAAATATGAAATACTTTTATTACGCTTCTATGTGGTTCTTGGCATTTGCTCACTTGGCATGCTGCAAATGCTTAACTGGTTCTTAGACTTCTCGCAAAGGCATTTTGGTCAGTATATTTCTGGTAGGTTTATATGTCTGTAAGAATATAGAGCCTGTGGTATTTTATTGTCATTTTGTTAATGTGCTTTGTATAATTATATATTTGTAAAGTGTATTCACCTGAGTCTAATGAGGGAGAATTTTTTTTTTTCTCCAGCTGGCTCTTTTCATTTTACTGCAGAGATATTGCCGGAGCATGACATAAAAGATTCATTTCAAAAAGTGATTCTGAGAAAATATGGAAGCTGTGACCTTAATAATTTACATTTAAAGAAAGACAACCAAAGTGTGGGTAATTGCAAGGGGCAGAAAAGCAGTTATAATGGCCTTCATCAATGTTTTTCAACTACCCATAGCAAAACCTGTCATTGTAATAAATTTGGCAGCGATTGCCAGTTGTGCTCAATCTTCACTGAAAATAAGGAAATTTTTAGCAGAGAGAAATGCTACAAGTGTGAAGAATGTGGCAAAGACTGTAGGTTGTTCTCAGATTTTTCTAGACATAAGAAAGTTCATACTGCAGAGAGATGCTACAAATGTGAAGAATGTGGCAAACCCTTTAAAAAGTTTTCAAACCTTACTGAACATAAGAGAGTTCATACTGGAGAGAAACCTTACAAATGTGAAGGATGTGGCAAAACCTTTACCTGCTCCTCAACCCTTGTTAAACACAAGAGAAATCATACTGGAGACAGACCCTACAAATGTGAAGAATGTGGCAAAGCCTTTAAGTGCTTCTCAGACCTTACTAATCATAAGAGAATTCATACTGGAGAGAAACCCTACAAATGTGAAGAATGTAACAAAGCCTATAGGTGGTTCTCAGACCTTGCTAAACATAAGATAATTCATACTGGAGAGAAACCCTACAAATGTAATGAATGTGGAAAAGCTTTTAAGTGGTTCTCGGCCCTTAGTAAACATAAGAGAATTCATACTGGAGAGAAACCCTACATCTGTGAAGAATGTGGCAAAGCCTTTACCCGCTCCTCCACCCTTTTTAACCACAAGAGAATTCATATGGAAGAGAGACCTTATAAATGTGAAGAATGTGGCAAGACCTTCAAGTGCTTCTCAGACCTGACTAATCATAAGAGAATTCACACTGGAGAAAAACCCTACAAATGTGAAGAATGTGGCAAAGCATCGAGCTGGTTCTCACACCTCATCAGACATAAGAGAATTCATACTAGAGAGAAGCTCCACAAGTGTTAAAAATGTGGAAAAGCCTTTAACAAGTCCTCATACCGTGTTCAACATCAGAAATTTAATACTGAACAAATGCAGTATAAATGTAATAACGATGGAAGAACATTTATCATCTTAGAGGGTCTCTAAGAACTTTATGTGTTGCTTATGTGTTGAGTGCATATATAGCCCTTTGCTATTATGTAATGCCCTTCTTTTTTTTTTTTTTTTAATCTATGTTAATTTCAAGTCTGTTTGTCAGAAACTAGGATTGCAACCCCTGCTTTTCCTGTTTTCTATTTGCTTGGTAGACTTTTCTTTTTCCCCTTATTTTGAGCTTATTTGAGATGGCTGTCTCGATTAAAGCATACTGTTAGATCTTGATTCTTTATTCAGCTTGCCATCTGTGTTTTAATTTGGTTATTTAGCCCATTTACGTTTAAGGTTAGTATTCATATGTGTGGATTTGATTCTGTTATTAGAATCTTAGCTGGCTATTTTGCACATTTGTTTATGTGGTTGCCTTAAAGTGTCTGCAGTTTGTATACTTTAGTGTGCTTTTGTAGTGACTGGTAATAGTCTTTCTTATTTAATGCTTTCTTCAGAAGCTCTTGTAAGACAGATCTTGTGGTAACAGATTTTCTCAGCATTTGCTTATCTGAATAGGATCATATATATTTTTTAATTCTGAAGCTTACCTTGGTCAGATGTGAAATTCTGTGTTGGAATTCTTTTTTTAAGAATGTTGAATATTGGCCCCTAATCTCTTTTGACTTGTAGGATTTCAGCTGAAAGGTTCGTTGTTTTTCTGATGGGCTGCTTTTAGAGGTGACCTGCCCTATTTTTCTGTAGCTGCCTTTTAACATATTTTTTCTTTCATTTTGACCTTGGAGAATCTCATGATTATGTGTCTTGAGGATGACCTTCTCATGGGGTATCTTACTGGGGTTCTCCACGTTTCCTGCATTTGAATATTGGCCTCTCTAGGTTGGGGAAGTTCTCGTGGATGTTATCCTGAAATATGTATTTCGAGTTGTTTTCATTCTCCCCATCGCTTTCAGACAATCTCTTGCATCATGGATTTGGTTTCTTTACATAATCCCATATTTCTTAGAGGTTTTGTTCATTCCTCTTTTCTTTTTTCACTATTCTTGTCTGTCTTATTTCAGAAAGTCAGTCTTGAAGCTCTTGAGATTCTTTCCTCTGCTTGGCCTATTCTGCTGTTAATATTTGTGATTACATGATAAAGGTTTTGTATTGTGTTTTCCAGTTCTATCGGGTTGGCCACATTTTTCTCTACACTGGCTCTTTTTTCTGTCAGTTCCTGCAATGTTTTCCCGTCCTTGCATTGGGTTGCAACTTACTTTTGTAACTCAGTGAAGTTTGTTTCCATCCATATTCTGAATTCTACTTCTGTCATCGTAAGCCTTGCTGGAAACGTAATTTGGTCATTTGGATGAAAGAAGTCACTCTGGCTTTTTGTGTTTTCAACATTTTTGCACTGATTTTCTCTCATCCATGTGGGAATATCTTTGAAGTTGCTGAACCTTGAATGGGGTTTTGGTTTTCTGGATCCTATTTGATGGTCTTGAGTATTTGATTGTGGTATAAGATGGATGCAGCCAACAGGCTTTGTTCCTGGCAGTTTTGTTTTGTTTTGTTTTGGTGGTGGGGGGGGGTGGGCAGTACCCAGCTCACAACTCAGAGGCTGCATACTCTAACTCCGGGGGACTTGTATTGAGCCCCAACTGTGTTCTCTGGCTCCTTGAGATTTGGAGTTTGCGATTCTGTGGAACCAAGGTGCCACAGCTGGAGCAGAGTGCTAGTGGATATGGGGTTTCTGCCTGTCTTTGGCATTCACCTCACTGGCAGGAGCAAAGCAGCTGGGAGGGGAGTGGGGGATACCTGCTGGAGACTGTGTACTGTTGCACTTAAAGGTGGTATTGGTATAGGAGAGGATGCTGGCCAGCGAAGGTTTTGATGCCTTCTCTGTGTCCCCCAAGAAGGAGTGATTGTTCAGAGTGTGGGAAGATACCCTGTTCTCCACACAGCGTTAGCACAAAGGCAGGAGTGGAGTTTTCTGGCTCTCTGCCCACCAAAGTTTCACCTACAGTAGCAGTTGCTGGGGGTGGCAGGGGCATATTGCATTTCCATTTGCTGGTGGGGCAAGCAAAGCCAAACCTGCCTTTGCAGACATGTGCCAGCAAAGAAATATGGGGAGTTGCTATGGTCTCGGGGGAAGCTGGAGTGTGGGGAAGAAGCGTGGGCTGGTGCAGTCATAGGGGCTGCCTTGCTGGAGCTTCTCATGGGTCAGGCATGGCCCACCAGTGCAGATGCTGTGGTGTGAGCTTCCAGGGTACCTGAGACTGCCCTGTAAGCAGCTGTGGCCAGACTGGGGCCCAGCAGTCCAAGGAGTGCGCAGTTGGACCAGCTGCTTCTGATTTGCAAGACCATCCTGCAGAAATTAGGCCCAACAGTTCCCCTAGGGCTAAAGTCTCTTATGGGAGAAAGTTGAGCCTGGAGAAATGGCCGTCGCTGGCCACACTTTACTACAGATGCCCTTGCACCAAATCCTCTGGGTACCATGTGAGCTGGCTTGCTGCCCCATCTCTTTGCTTGTCTTCTGGGGGCTGCATCTTAGAGAGATGTAGGTCAGCAATCACTCAGTGCCGCCAGCCCAGGATGGAGGATCTGTACTTTTGGCCAAGTTAGGGGTTCACTGTCTGGTGAGGAGCAGTGGATAGTTTGTGGGACCCATGGAGGATGGACTGGCCTCCTCTCCTTGGTTAAACTGCAGGTTGTTTGAGGTGTGAATAAGGCACTTAGGGTTTTAGATTTTTCATGAGTCTGAGGGTGGCAAGGACAGTTGTACTGCAGAGGCCCCTGGAGGCTCTGTCCAGGGAGTTGCTAAGTTGCTACTGGCTCAATAGCTCTGGCAATGATTGGCTAGTGGCCCAGGCCTGGAGAACCTGCCTCATGAGAATATATGAGAACAGGTACTCACGTAACAGTCTGACGACTTCTGAAGGGCAGCTGCAGTATGCTGGGTGTCCACTGCAGTTTCTAGTCTCCTCAGATGTTCCAGTACCGGAAGTTATCACCACTGAATGCTGCAAAACAGCAACAATGGCAGCATGCCCTTTTCTCTGAGAGCTGCATCCCAGGGAGGTACAGACCTGTTTCCAACCCAAAAGCACCTGTAGGAAGTAGCTGGAAAGCCCCTGTTGAAGGTCTTACCCAGTGAGGAAAACATGATTAGGGACCCCCTCAAGAAAGCAGTCTAACCTTATTTTTGTAGGACAACTCTGCTGTTCAGAGGTACCACTTCCACCCCCAGTTTATTTGGATTCTCCAAAGCCAGAAGGCTGGAAGAGCTAACACACAAACAGCAAAAATGGCAACTCACTCTTCCTTCTAGGAACTATATCACAAAGAGGTTTCAAAACTCCATCAACCAAAGAGCGCTGGTGGTGGTAGCTGGAGACCCTCATTGGGAAGTACTTTCCAGTGAGAAGGAATGAAATTGGGGACCTGCTTTAACAGGCAGTCTGGTCTTGTCTTTTTAGAGCACCTGTACTGTGCTAGGAGATCCTTTCTGCCCCCAGTCAGCTTGGGCTCTTCAATGCTTGAAGGCTGGAATGGCTAAGTTGCCCAAGCAGCAAAGATGGCGACCCACTCCTCTTTCTGGTAGCTCCATCCCAGGGAGGTGCAGTGCTGCTAGCAATGGTTGGCTGAAATCTAAGCCAGTAGGTCTTACTGTGTGAGGCATTGTAGAAGTGGGTCCTACAGACCATCACTACTCAGCCCCCTGGATTCTGCCTCTTTCCTATGAGTATGTACAGGGGTGTAAACTCCTGCTTTGCTCAAGTTGCAGCTGCTTTTTCTGGAAGCCTGGAAAGCCAGTATCTAAAGCTCTTGAATTTGCACAGGCCTGAGTAGCTGCTCTGCTAAGACTCCATGTAGCTCTGTGTGTTAAACTGAAGGCCTTGGTGAAGTGGGTCCATGAGAGTATCTCCTCACCTGAAGGTTGCGAAGATCTGTGGGAGAATTGTGCGTTCCCAGGGTCACACATGCACTCACTGCTTTACTGGGTGGGGAGGTTCCCTTGGCTCCATGTTGTTCCCAGGTGGCCCACTGTCCTGCCTTTCTTTACTCCATTCTCCATAAGTTGTTTCTTTGATTATTCCCAATGCAAGTACCTGGATGTTTCAGTTGCAGGTGCTGTATTTGTGTATACCTTGCATTCCTCTCTATGAGAACTACACAGTCTAGCTGCTTCTAGTCAGCAGTCTCGATCACTTTTCTCCAAAAGGAACCTACTTTTTTATATTAAAAGGATTCAGTATTTTTTCAAAAGCAAATATTGATGTAATTTAATTCTTACATTTGATGCTATGTCTTCATTTCTAGAATTTATGTGAAAACATGGTCAATGATTGCTGCACCAGAGTTATGAGAGGTTCTTCTCTATTAGATGGACAGATTTATATACTTTCCCATGGAAGATTAAGTAAACTGAAATCTAAGATACATGAAGAAATCCTAAGTGGAAAGGCCACTTAGTAGTTTACAGCGGTGTCGTAAGTGACAGGATGATAGGAGTGTGGTAAGTGATCAGGATAATCTGCTTAGTAAGAGAAACAATTTGAATTTTAGAAGGAAATTGCTTTACCATTTGCAAATTAAGGTTATTAAAATACAGTGAATTTCAAAATGCCTTTTAAATGACAACGTGTGAACTTAATTTGTTTTAATAAACCAAAATTGTTGTTACTGTGTTAAGGCTATTTTACACTGAATATGTATCTTGCCACTGATAACAATTTATCCCATCTTAACCCAAGGTTATAGGTAACAATATACTGTTGGGTGACAGTGGAATAACATCTCTAGTGATCCCTTTGTCAGTGGTCTTTAACTTAAAATAATTTAGAGAATATGGTTTCTATAACTTACATTTTTGTTTTGTTGTAACTACAGGTTATTATGATGGTTGTAACAAAGATTATGAGTATAGTGGAGCTATGTTTCTGAATTCTGAACAACTATTTACAAAATTTTATCCTACTTTTTTCTGTTGAACATGACTTCTCTGGTCTGCTAAACACATACAGACCTTTAATTTTGTTTTACATGGATTTAAATATACAAATATATCAGTATGAAATAAACTTTAGGTGTAACAGATTTATAGAGAAAGTAATCGTATTTGTTTATGGTTGTGTACCTACTTTGAGAAGAAAAGAAAAATATTAGAGTGAAATAGATAATTTTACAAGCTTTGATCAGTTACCAGCAAACCAGAAACTTCAAAGATTTTGAAAGCAAATCTATTTTCTCTGCTGTGTATTAAATTCATTTATCTAAAATGTTATTGCTCCTGGCTTAGAATCATCTTGTGCAAATTCTAATTTTTTGTTGTTTGTTTGTTTGCCTATTGCTCACCATAGACATAATATGTAATTTTCTTTTCGTCTAATTTCATAAAACATTCTTTGTATAATCCCCTCAGAGATTATGAAAGTGACTTTGATAATATTTAATGGTGTTCACAAAATAATTTTTCACATGTGAATAATTTCATAGTGCATGTATTGTATGTTTAGTATATTTTATATTTAGTTTCAATTAGAGAATGCTATTTAATCCAATTTTTGTTTAGTTATTGTTCATTTTACATTATAAAATTGACATAATTGAGTTTATTAAATTTATTGAGCCAGTTTGTTGAAGTAAACAGTTGAATGTTTCATAAGTTATCAGGTCTTTTTGGCATATACATGAAGTAAACAAAGACAATACTAGCTATGTAACAGAAGCTACATAATTAGAAGTAAATATTCTTTTTGAAATTAGCCTGTGGTCTCAGGTGAAAAATGGAAAGTATCTGTAGTAAAAACAATGACATTAATTCTGCATATGAAGAGAGTATAATTGTACCCATGTTGCACAGTTGACTCTCACAATTGAAACAAGATGAAGAGATGGACATTTTAGCAAAACTAAATGAAAACCTTGTAAAATTTTCAGATTATGTTTCTACATTTAAACATCTACTGGGGGAGGTAGTGGGCAATTCTATGCAGTCAAACCTGGAATTGCTGACACGTATTAAGAGTGTGCACCACAGGTATTGAAACCTGAAATACTCTGAACTCTTTTCATATAGATTAACAAAATATAAAATATGGTTTTAGGGCCAGGCACGGTGGCTCACGCCTGTAATCCCAGCACTTTGGGAGGCCGAGGCAGGCGGATCACGCGGTCAGGAGATCGAGACCATCCTGGCAAACATGGTGAAACCCCGTTTCTACTGAAAATACAAAAAATTAGCCGGGCGTGGTGGCAGGCGCCTGTAGTCCCAGCCTCTCAGGAGGCTGAGGCAGGAGAATGGTGTAAACCCGGGAGGCAGAGCTTGCAGTGAGCCGAGATCGCGCCACTGCACTCCAGCCTAGGCGACAGAGTGAGACTCCGTCTCCAAAAAAAAAAAATATATAGGATTTTAGTCGTCCTCCTCTATATTCTGGCTTAGACAGAACTATTTCAAGTAGATTTAATTCTAGATCTTTTTTTTTTCTTTTTTTGAGATGGAATCTCGCTCTGTCACCCAAGCTGGTGTGCAGTGGCGTGATCTCTGCTCGCTGCAACCTCCGCCTCCTAGGTTCAAGCAGTTCTCCTGCCTCACCCTCCTGAATAGCTGAGACTACTGGTGCCCACCACCAGGCCCAGCTAATTTTTTGTATTTTTGGTAGAGATGGGGTTTCACCGTGTTAGCCAGGATGGTCTTGATCTCCTGACCTCATGATCCACCCACCTCAGCCTTCCAAAGTGCTGGGAATACATGTGTGAGCCACCGCACCTGTCCTTGGTTTTAGATCTTGACACAGCACATCCTCAACTTATTGTCTCCGAGGATAGAAAAAGCTGTGTAATGGAAGAACAAAACCAGACGTTTATTACAACCCAAGGAGATTTTATTTCTGCCCTGCTGTCCTGGGCTCTCAGAAGTGTAGTTCTGGCAGACATTACTGGAAGGAGAAGTGGGAAACGATCCTAAATGAAAATTGGGTGTGTGTCAAGACGGTCTTCTTAGGACCTGGCAGGATCAACCTTCAGTTCTGGGTTGATTTGGGGGCAATTGGATGATATATAGAGTGGTTATGCTGCATCAGGTCCTAAAAAAGCCCACTTCTGTCAGTAGTAAAATCCAATAAGATTGGTATTCTTTTGGACTATGAATTTGGTGATTTTTTAAAGTAATGTAAGTGATAGGTTTGTTCTGTATATTTTAATGATTCTTTCACAAGAGCTGTTTGGCCTTATTTCTATACTGAAGCAGATTCTGAACATCTTAAAATCTGTTCATTATCAGATACTGAAAGATAAAGAACAAGTAAATGAATCTGTTTCAGTTTTTTGGGTAATTTAACCAGTAAATTTAATCTTATTTCTTTAATCTTTAAGTTTTACTGCTGAAGGCCAGAATAGATTTTTTTCTCCTAAATTTTTGGCAAGTATAAAGCACGTTCAGAATGTCACTTTCATAGATACTATGAATATCAATTGTCAAGTGTGTTGATTTCTAAGATAAAATATTTGAGAATTAATATTACCTAACTTGTCCAATAAAATGTTAAGTTGCCTACTTTGAAAAAATCTGTCAATTTTGAATTGCATACCTAGCTAAATTTTTTTAAGATTGAGGGTGAGATGTAAAATAATTTATACAAGTAATATAAACTGTTTACTTAAATTATTTACTTAAAGAAATCTAATTACATTTAAATAAATTGCTGTTACCTGTTAGTATTTGTGTAGTGTATTTTTTTTTTAAGTTTTTGCCTCTAAAGCAGGTAACAATTTAAACAGAGAATAAAACAAAAATGCAATGATTGGGAGGAAAATAAAAGGTTTGTATGATGACCTAATTAAGATAATGTAAAGGATAAAAATCTTAATATTTGTTTTTACACATTTTTGGGCAAAAGTAACCCTGAGATAGTAATGTGCAGAAAATACTATTAATTATATTCTTGAGACTTACTGACTTTGGCACTTAGAGAACCTCCACTACAGGCCCAGGATTCCCTAGGTATTTCTCATGGAAACGGAGCAGAAGGCCATGTCCACAAACATAAATGGATGCTCACCTTCCATTTAGAGACCAGATGCTCACCTTCCATTTAGAGACCAGATGCTCACCTTCCATTTAGAGACCAGATGCTCACCTTCCATTTAGAGACCAGTAGGTGCTGGTAGGTGCTCACCTTCCATTTAGAGACCAGTAAGTGCTGGTAGGTGCTCACCTTCCATTTAGAGACCAGTAAGTGCTGGTAGGTGCTCA